GGCTCTGAGGACCGGGGCGTGTCGGGTTTGGACGGGAAGCGGATGCGGCCGGTGCCGGGCCTGGTCGATGCTCGTTGCGTTCGCGCGCTTCGTGCTGAATCCGGACCCGCGTTCCGGCCTTCCGCGGATCTTCCTAGCCGTAAGGCCGCGACGGACGCGCGCTTCGCGGCGTGCGGCTCGGCGCGGTTCTGTACGACCGCCGTTCAACGGTCAGCTCAGAACTGGCACGGACAAGGGGAATCCGACTGTCTAATTAAAACAAAGCATTGCGATGGCCCTCGCGGGTGTTGACGCAATGTGATTTCTGCCCAGTGCTCTGAATGTCAACGTGAAGAAATTCAAGCAAGCGCGGGTAAACGGCGGGAGTAACTATGACTCTCTTAAGTGACGCGCCGGCCTGATGCCGGCTCTGCGCCTTCGGGCTGCGGGGCGTGCGTCGGGGCGTGTCCTTTTGAAGGTCATGGGGACTCCAGGCCCCCACAGATGTCCGATTTGAGCGGAGCCAGTAGACGCTTGGATCAATGGGAGCAAAACACTGTCGGGGCCTGTAACGGGATGAGCGGGTCGGCAACGGCCCGTGACGTCCAACTCCTATCCTCAGCCTGCTCGTGGTACCGCCGCCAATGTCTAATGAGGGGGGAGGGAGTACTCCGAGATCATATATACACCCATGACTGCTGGAGGGTCGTATAACAGGCTCGTCGGAGGCTCTTACAAATGAATCGAGCCCTAACGCGTTTTCCGCTGGGACCACCACATCAAACTGCGCTAACCCGCGGCCGGGTGTGGTGGGGTCAGTCAGGCTTGTCCCTGGATTTCCCTAGGATGCGTGAAACGTCTGGCACCTTGACGTTAATCCAGGTGTTGACACTGGGCGAAATTCCCAGTGTTACCCCTAATGGAGCTGCAGACCTTCCATCTTTAGGCGAGCACTCAAGTCCGGTAGTTATCTAAGGATTGGGGTATAACGAAAATTACCGGGCGAACCTGGGGCGTTGGATTAGCAGTCCGCGTCCGGGGGTTAAACTATATCGCTGGCAACAATTATGAAGAAATTTATAACGTGAGCCCCGACTTCTCACTGGGGTCGGGGTCGGCGATAAACCCACCGCGGGATGGTCGATCGGGCGAAGCCGCTTCCGGGCTGGCGACGCCTGGTTGCACCTGCCCCGTTTGTGGGAGGGTCTTTCGGACCAACAGGGGATTAGGCGTGCACAAGCGTGCCGCGCATCCCCTTGAGGCGAATGTGGAGGCCGCTCCAAATGCTGTGAAGCGCAGATGGCGGGAGGAGGAGATCGCTCTCATGGCAAGGTCCGAGGCAAGGCTGACTAGAGAGTTGGGTCGGTGTGGGAATGTTGAGCTGTTTAATGCCCTTCCAGAGCTTGGTAGAACACTGGAAGCAATAAAAGGGCAAAGGCGCAAAAATGAGTATAAAGATATGGTGCAAGCATATCTTCAGAACGCCCATAATATTGAATATCCAAACCCATCACCAGTAAGCGCAGACCAAATACCAAATGATACGGAACAGCAACCTCAGTCAGTCGAACCCGAGTCCCCAAGTGTTGAGCGGTTGAGCACTCCACCTTCTCGCGTGGATCCGCTTGAAATAACCGAAAACCCCAATGACGAAGCGTGTGCAACGAATGCACTCGAGGACTTACTCGAGAGAGTGAGGAAGAGAGAGGCATATCGGGGCCGTTGTAGGAGGGGTGAGTACGAGGAGCGGCAGTACACCGACCATTCTAACGGCTCGCGACCGCCTAATAGGCGAAAGAGGCGAAGAATGGAGTACGCTCGAGTCCAGGAACTATGGAAGAGAAACCCTAGCCGGGTTGCTGAGGAGGTGATCGACGGCGCATGTAGAGACGTGAAGCACCAGCTGGAGGAAATGGAAGCCTACTGGAGACCACTACTTGAAAGGGTGTCGAGCGCCTCTGGGCCTACACCGGAAGCCTTGGATCGCTTGCGATCTAGTTTGGGCAATACGGGGGCAATGTGCCTGCTTTCTCTACTCTTTAGCACCCCTTCACCGCATCTGAGGTGAAGCAGGCAAAGGTTAATCTGAAGTCTGCATCGGGTCCCGAAGGCGTCAAGCCGGAGGACTGGCGTAAAGTTCCTGGTAAGATGAAGGCGCCTCTGTTCAACGTTTGGATGCGTCAGGGCGAAGTCCCCGAACTCCTACGGCAGTGTCGGACGATTTTCGTGCCGAAAAAAGAGGTCCCTGCGGGACCGAGTGAATATAGGCCGATTTCGATCGCGTCTATACCGCTACGGCACCTGCACACGCTCTTGGCGCGTAGGTTGCTCGCATGCTGTCCTCCCGATGTGCGGCAGCGCGGATTCATTTGTGCGGATGGCACTCTTGAAAACGCCGCCGTATTAGACGCCGTACTCGGGGATTGCAGGAAGAGGTTGAGGGAGTGTCACGTGGCGGTCCTGGACTTTTCCAAGGCGTTCGACACAGTGTCACATGTGGCACTGATCGATCTGCTGAGGC